AAATGCTATGTAAGTTCTACATTAAGACTAAGAAATAAAGACTGTATTTTCAAAATACAATTAAATTTTAATTTCTCTAAATTAAGAGATATTAACAAGTATTTTAAACCATGAGGCAAACCCTTTTTTTCTGGGAGATTGTCTCTTGGGTACATATTCAAGTGCCCAGTACACAGTAATTGTTAAAATTTACTTAAGTATCATTGAATACTCTTTTGCCATTTGTATCAGTAATACGGATGTCAAGTATCCACTGAGTTCCAAAGTAAGGGTATGGGGGGATTCACAACTTTGGCACTATTGGTATTTGGAGCCAGATAATTCTGTTACTGGGGCTGCTCTATGCATTTTAAGACGTTCAACAGCCTCCCTGGCCTCTACCCACAATATGCAAGTAGCAATCCCCCAATTAAGACAATCAAAAATACTGTTTTTGCCAAATGTCTGCTGAAGGAAACAAAATTTCAAAATGCTGTTGTTTTTGCAAATCATTTACTATTTCATCAGGGTCTTCTAGTTAAATAACAGAATTTACAGCTGTAACATTCTCAAATTTTCTCTAAATTTTATTGTGTGATATAAACTAGAAGGGACCTACAGATTAGATTATCTCTAATGTTCCTCTTAAACCTTCAGAGGATTTTGCAGGACAGAAATATTAATAGCTTCTATCTATTTAATCTTAACTCTGTGCTAGGCATAGTACTGAGGACTTCAGGTTCATTCACTCCTTTTATACTCATGGCATCCTCATGGGATGGCTATTAACCCGACTGCAGTAAAAAACAATTCAAAAGTCTATTTTAATCAACATACCCAAAGTGTTTCCAGAAATATTTGTTTATCACTCACTACGTTCATTCTAGCACTAAACTAAGAAGAAAGTACCTTAACTTGGTAATATGCAATTTTTTTTTTTAAATGTTTTATTTATTTCTAGGAGAGAGAGAGACAGCGTGAGCAGGGGAGGGTCAGAGAGAGAGGGAGTCACAGACTGAAACAGGCTCCAGGCTCCGAGCTGGCAGTCAGCACAGAGCCCGACGCGGGGCTTGAACCCACGAACCGCGAGATCATGACCCAAGCGAAAGTCGGACGCTTAACCGACTAAGCCACCCAGGCGCCCCTGTAATATGCAATTTTTGATGAAAACATTTCAGTTTATCTAGGCAACAAGGTAAGTTGAATTGTTACAACCATCAGGCATTGGAGAAATAGTTCACAATACCAAACAAGTCAGAGAAACAATAATTATCTGTTTCTTGAAGTATTTTTTATACTGTGACACAATGAAAGAGGACTTCTGCAATTATTCACCCATGTTTCCCTGAGTACTTCAAGTAACTATTTTTCCCCTTTGCACCACTTGCCCCCCAAAAAAATCACTTTATAATTATTTGAAGATTTATTTGTAATTTCAATCTGCCTTTCAGTAGAAATTGAAGGCTGGGTTCAACTCCCAATTCGCTCTGCTACGGGAAGTGAAAACAAGTTAACTTGTTCAAGCCTCAATTTCAACTATGTAACTTGTATAATAAAATCAATATGAAGGCCTTAAGAGTTAACAGGCCCTCAATAAAAATTATTTCCCCCCTCCTTTCATCCTCAAAGCAAATTAAATATCAATTAAGGGCCAATTCTATTTAAGCATTTGTTCAGAGTCTACTAATAATAGCCAAGGGCGGATGTGATAGGGGCAGTTAGCCCAACATTACACCCGGTAACTACTGGGAAACCAACCCCTTCAATCTCCCAAACCCATCATCTCAATAACTAACTGAAAGCTGAGGGGCTATTCCATCAGTTTGAGATTTTACAATTATTGGTATTGTTTCTCAAACAGGAAAGTACATCATCAACAGTACTGAGTGTGGGTATAATTATTACCACTTTATATCACCTGCTGTCTTCTGTTTTCCTTGTGTTAAAAAATACAAGAACCTTTCTTGAAGTGTTCCTTCCTCTCTCCCTTCACCCACACAACTAACTGCCAAGAAATTTTGATTCATATTTCTCTCTAAAAGGAGGAAGATAAATTGGAGCCTTTATTTGCAATGCCAGAAACTTCTGTGTATAATTCATATATACATATTTTTTAAACTTTTTGTAATGTTTATTTATTTTTGAGAGAGCGAGCACGCGCGCACAAGACAGGGAGGGGCAGAGAGACACACATACACAGAATCCGAGGCAGACTCCAGGCTTCGAGTTGTCACCGCAGAGCCTGAAGTGGGGCTTGAACCCACAAACCATGAGATCATGACCTGAGCCACAGTTGGACACCCAACGGACTGAGCCACCCAGGAGCCCCTAATTCATATATTTGTTAACTGACACCCACTCAAGTGCATATTATCCATTTTGCAGATTACCCATGATTAAGTAATTTACTAATGAGCATAAGTTACTTAATATTATCCTTAGTGAATATTAGAAAGCCAAATGCTTAAAAAGAAACAAACTTTGGGAATGAGATCCACTGCTTCCTTTACTGGCAAATGAAAGAGAGCTACTATACTAGAATCATTATTATCAATGGATAAAATTCAACTTAAGACAGATAATCTTTTACTCCATCTTAAAGTTTTAACATGAACAAGAACTTTACAAAGCTCACCTGCAAGGTGGAAATAGGACAAGAACCCAGGAACGGATCTACTGGTAATCTAGAGTACTATAAAATATGTAATGAGGTTTCAGGTAAAAGTTGGTAACATGAAAGTATGTCAGTTTAACTGAACTCATTATTTAGCAATATAAAATAAATGTTCATTAAGTACTTCCTGTATAGTTTATTTTCTTGGGTTCTTAGGAGGCAGCGAAATTTTATAGAACCATCAACTTCATTTGTTCTTAAAATAATTTACTGTCACTGTTCAGATGTTATATTTCACAGGCCAGATTTTATTCAATTGTTCTTAAAACTGATATCTAGGTACAGAAGAATAGTTAAAAGTTCTACCAAAATGTTCTGGCCCTCAAAATCTTAAATGCTACAGCAGTTAACAATTACCTGATCAAGTAAATTGACAAAGCTAAATGTAACCAAAACCAAGTTGCTCATTAACAATATAAAAAAAGCAAAACACAGAAAAAAAATGGAAAACAAAATTTTTTTGCCTGTGAATATATTTTAAAATTCAGGGGCGCCTGGGTGGCTCAGTCAGTCGAGCGTCCAACTTGGGCTCAGGTCATGATCTCACGGTTAGTGGGTTCGAACCCCGCGTCGGGCTCTGTGCTGACAACTTGGAGCCTGGAGCCTGTTTAGGATTCTGTCTCCCTCTCTCTCTCCCCCACTCATGCTGTGTTTCTGTTTCAATAATAATAAACATTTAAAAATTTTTTTAAGTAAAATAGTAATTGCAACCTAATTTTCAGAAGCTTAAAATTCTCGTAGATGCAAAGTATACTGATAACATGGTTTCTACATGTAAAACATACAATAAGAAGATACGGACTGTAAAGACACTGAGCCTCTCCAGCCAGTGAATGCCAATACCAAATGTACATGGATACATATGCTTCCAAGACAGTCACCAAACAGAGAGCAACGCCAAAGAAAACTGACACACTTCCTACCAAGACAATTGCTACCTTCGAACCAATTTATCTATAGAAGTGGGAGGAGGGAGTCAGAATACAATCTAAACTAAACCATTAAAAACTTACCTGAAAATGTCAACTCCATCCTTTTTCTTTCAATGCATGGAAAGGCATAACATCAAATTTCAGCAAATACAATACCCACTTCTTGTTAACTTTATTCCTACTTGTTAACCACATGAAATTAATAGCTACCTTCAATTAACATGCAAAAGTCCAAACCCTTCACATATTCACTCACTTAATTACTCTCCCTATTTGACTGAAGAGGAAACTAAGGCACAGAGACTAAGTAACTAGTAGGTTACTTAGGTTACCAGGTAACACTCCTCGGAAGTGATGGATCCATGCAAACTCTATACATCGAAAATAATAAATAAAAATGGGAATGGACTGTTAAAGGAATAAAAAAAAAATCCAAAACGGTCCGCAAAACAAGAGTATTGTGAATGAGAACGAAATGTTTAAACTATAAACACACGAAGATGTGAATGTAAATTACACAAATTTTACCTAGACAAGTACTTTCTTGCTATAATATTTGATTATAGTCAAACAGTTTCAACTACATCAAATCGTAGTGGCAGACGACCAAGTAAATAATTTACCGTCACTGTTGAGACACTGTATTTTACAGACTACATAAAATACACTGTAATTTAAAACATGAAGGGGGTGGTAAGGCAACCGGAGCGATAGTTTAAGGAAAACTACTTTCTCTATCAGCAGTTCATTAGAAAACAAACTACGTGTGTCGGGGAACCAGGGTAAGAACAAGATGACAATCACACTGCCTTAACCCCACCTCCCCAAAAAAGTAACTAACAGTGGGTCAGCGCCTGAACCAACTGCATAACTGGCCCAGTGGGATCTCGTGAGGGGATGACAGGAGACCCTAGCCGAGGGGGAGGGGTGGCGATGACAGGAGAGGGGGCGGTAGAGAGAAGGCATGCCTCCCATCTCCGAAAAAGGGGAGAATACAGGGGGCAAGGGGCGGAGAGGGGAAGGCAAGAAATGTTGCCCGAGATTCCAAATGAGGTGAGAAGGAACAGGGTAGGAAACCTAAGAAGGCGGGACCCTCGGGCAGAAAGGGGTCTGTTTGGAGCAGAGGAGGCATGTCAGTATACAGCTTTCCTGCCAGCTGATCCCCCCTTCTGTCCAGCCCCTCCAACCCCTGACAAACTCACTTTCTCAGCAACCCTAAACCCGCGGGTCATCCCAGTCCCGCTCCCTGCCCCCCACCCCAAGCCGGATAGGTGGAGGAGGGAGCTTCACTCTCTCCTTGTTGGGCTGGTAGAACGGACACCGGACACAGCCCTGATTCGAGAACGAAAAGACCAGGAGAAGCAGGGAGGCCCAGGACCCGGGTGACAAGTCCGGGCGGCCGACGGGCGCCTCACCTGACAGAAGCGTCGGCAGTAATCCCGACTGCTGATCCCGAAGCCGCCGACACCGCAGCTGCTGCTGCCAGCGCCACCTCTGCCGTCACCCGCAGCTCTAAGCCCAACAGGGCCTGGCGGGGACTCCACAATGGCCACGAGCTCTTCTCCGAGGCGTTCGGCCTCTTGATCGCTCTCTTCCTCCGCCATGAGGCTCTCGCCGCCCAGCGCGTACCAGCCCCTACGCCGCCGCCGCTGTAGCTGCCTCGGCTAACCTCCTCCTCCTCTAGTTCCCTCCCCCTTCCCTCCGCCTGAGCCGGACAGGGGCCTCTCGGCTGGCTCTACTTCCGGCTCCGCCCACCCACGCCCCCTGTTTTCATTGGAGAAGTGCGGCTGCCAGTCACACACTTGCCCACCCTTCCACTTCCATTGGCCGAATCAGCCGTCTGTTTGATTGACTCGCGGTCCATTGGTCAATGCTGCTCGGCGGTTGCTGGGGACCGCCTACGAGCTTTGCCGTAGGCGGCGCAAGAGGACGGGGCGCGGCGGGGGACACGGCGGCCGCCGCGGGCTCGATCGGGCAACGGCGACGACGACGGCGGCGGCGGCGGCTGCGACGGGTCTTCCTCTTCCTTCACCCCCTGGCTCCTTTTTTTTTTCCTCCTCCTTTCCTTTCCGGCCGGGTCTCGTCCACTTCCCCTAACGGCGGCCCCGATCCTACGGTACCGAGGAGCTAGAGAGGCCGAGGGTGGGCCCGGCCGTTGGTGCGGGCTTTGGGCCCGGGGCCTTCCGTCCTGAAGCGGGAGCCGGGGGCGGGGCCGGGGCGCCGTTGTCGGCGGGAGGAAGAGGGAGGAGACGGGAAGCCTGACAGCGGACGCCTCCGCCAGGCGCCCGCCGCCTCCTCCCCTGAGACTGCCGCCAACTCTGCTGTCGAGTTCTCGGGCCCGCGGCCGGCGGCTGGGTCTCGGCCCTGCCCAGCTAGCGGGGCAAGGATTGTGGGGCGCCAGCGTGCTGAGCTTGGCGAGGGAGGAGGGAGTCTAGACGCCGGGAACGTCCCGCGCCCCGCCTTGCCCTCCCCCTCCCGAACCCTTGGGCCTGGGGCGCGCGCGGAGGTGCAAAGCGGGGTAGACAACTGAGAAAGGACTGGGTTGAGGAGTGTTGAGGTAAACGTTGGGATCCGGATTTGTTGTGTGGAGTTACCTAAAGGGAGCGGTTTTAAAGACACCTGCGTGGTGGCTGTGTTGTTCTTGTTCGTGTTTTTATCTACTCGTCTTTCCCTCCCCCTCCCCCATTTTTTCTTTCCATTTGTTTTTCATGTTTTACAGTAAAGGCATGACTTCCCGGCACCGCAGGGAAAATAGGGTGCAAGCCCAGAAACTATTTCCCCATCACCACTTGTTGAAAAACTGATTGGAAAGCATCTCCGTGTTTGAACAATCGAAAGTTCCAGGATTTCCATCGTCTCTGGTTTTGCTCTGGAGACCTTTCACTGCTAAGTATCAAGACGAAAAAACTGGAAACTGATCGGGTAAACATTTAAACTTGAAAAGTTACGAGTTTTATTTTGGTCTAGTAAATAGTGTGCTTCTCTTTTGTTGGCTAATTCCTGCTCTTAACTTTCTAACTTCCTCGTTTAAAATATCTTTACCTTTTGTTGAAAACACTTTTGTTGTTCAGGTCTGTAAAGTCGAGCATCCTCTACTGGGTGGATATTTATTTGCCTCTGCAGAAACACAAACAGACTTTTGAAAGTTACAAGTCTTTGGAATGTATAGGTCTTTCACATTAGCACAAATGATTGAGCATTTTACTCTCCAAAGAATAATGAGCATGTTTATTGTTTTAAAGTTTGAAATCCAAATATTTAAAGACAGCCGACTTTTCATATCGAAAGATTTAGGCATTCCTGGGCACAGATATTTAATGTTTTTCATCACTGGCCTACAACCATTAATCATAGTTGGGACTGATTTGCCATAGGAGTAAAAATCACTACCATTAGGGCGTCTGGTTGGCTCAGTCAGTTGAACATCAGACTCTTGATCTCAGCTCAGGTCTTGATCTCAGGGTGTGAGTTCAAGTACTGTGTTGGGCTCCGAGCAGGATGTGAAACCTACTTCAGAGGGAAAAAGAAAAAAATACCGTTAACTTAAAATACAAAAATGTGTAATGGTAATTCACTACTGTTTGGGAGGGCAGGAATCATATCCGTCTTGTATGCCATTGAAAACCAGTAGTCTAACAAAATTAGGCACATGAGAGTCCAGCACTAAACAACTAATTAAATCTACTAAATCAATTAAATCTATTAAAATCCAAACTTTACCGTTTTTTCCAGAATTTCTGTGAAATGGTAACTTTTTCTCTGAATTTATGTCCACAGGTGTCATGACACATATATTAGCAATTTAGAGTTCTTTTGAGAGAGATTCCATATAACCCCCGCTATGAATTCTCTAGCATGGGTTAAGGGAATACTTCATTATTGCTGATTTTTTTAATTTGTTATATATAAGGTTAATGTAAGAGCTTAGTCAGAAGGAATGGCCCCAGAGAACAAATGGTTGTCACTGACAGCATTTGTTCAGTATCTCAAGTTTTCAGTGTCCATAGAAGTAACATCATAATTTTGGTAATGATCATAAAAATTTGTTAGTAGGACAAATTGATAAATTATTATGCTGCTCCTGAATTAAATATTTGGAAAAATAACAAAAACAATCGTTTACTTTCCCTGAACAAATTGTGACTGAGCACCTATCATATACTAGGCACACATTAATTTTTCAGATTTGTACTAACTTACTAGTTAATAGGTGAAATCAGTAATTAACAAATGTGTTAGTTTAACAAATGTGTTAGTTTTTAATGTTAAAAAGAGGAAACAAGTGTTAGAAAAAGCATTTTGCATATCTTGATCATCACATTTATAAAACTCAGTGGAGGTATATGTGCATTAAAAAATGACTGGGGCACCGGGGTGGTTCAGTCAGTTGAGTGTCTGACTCTTGATTTGGACTCAGGTCATCATCTTGCAGTTTGAGGGATTGAGCACTGGGTCAGGCTCTGTGCTGACAGCAGAGTCTGCTTGGGATTCTCTCTCTCCCTCTGTCTCTGCCCCACCCCCACTCGTGCTCTGTTTCTCTCAAATGAATAAACTCTTGAAAGAATTACTTACTGGGGCGCCTGGGTGGCTTAGTCGGTTAAGCGTCCGACTTTCGCTTAGGTCATGATCTCGCGGTTCGTGGGTTCGAGCCCCGCGTCGGGCTCTGTGCTGACTGCCAGCTCAGAGCCTGGAGCCTGCTTCAGTCTGTGACTCCCTCTCTCTCTGACCCTCCCCTGTTCACGCTGTCTCTCTCTCTCCTAGAAATAAAAAAAAAAAAAAAGAAAGAATTACTTACTTTGAGCTCTGTATTTGGCTTTAAAATTTAATTTCCTTGTTGCTGCTATTAATTGCAGCTAGTCTGTGTTTTTTCTTTTTTTTAAATTTTTTTAAATGTTTTATTTATTTCTGAGAGAGAAAGACAGCATGAGCAGGGGAGGGTCAGAGAGAGAAGGAGACACAGAATCTGAAGCAGACTCCAGGCTCTGAGCTAGCTGTCAGCACAGAGCCCGACGCAGGGCTTGAACCCACGAACTGAAAGATCATGACCTGAGCCAAAGTCAGATGCTTAATCAACTGAGCCACCCAAGTGTCCCTAGTCTGTGTTCTTTCTGGGCTTTTACTTTTTGTTTTTTCTGAACACTTTTGGACATTATATCCATCTTCATATAGAATTAACCCAGTTTAGTTGCCCTCCTGTTTGAACAGACTTTGCCCATAATTCCCTACATTTGTGTTCCTTAAATCAGTTGCTCCAAAACTATGATGGGAAAAGAAGCTCTTTTAAACTTCAATACACATCTATGTGGAATGAGAGTAATATAATTAATACCTGAAATATTGGCATCAAATCAGGTTTTCCTAAAAAGATAGTGACATCTGGGATAGTTGGAAGTTCTTTTTTCATAATTCTAATTTATTTGAATGTCATCAAATTCAAGGAATGGACCTTGTTACTAGTAACTTGCTCTGGTTTTGCCTTCCCTTACATATTTTCAGGTAAGTTAAGAGTTAATAGACATAGTCTATTAATTTGAATTAAGTTTTCTGAAATCCTTAATCTTAAAATGCTTATACCTGTCTTTTATTTGTTACTTCCCGAATGAGTTGTTATAACACTTACCTTTGTTTCTCTTGTCTCAAAAGAACCTTATTCAGAGTCAGAATGGAAAGGTTTGTAGTAACAGCACCACCTGCTCGAAACCGTTCTAAGACTGCTTTGTATGTGACTCCCCTGGATCGAGTCACTGAGTTTGGAGGGGAGCTGCACGAAGATGGAGGAAAACTCTTCTGCACTTCTTGCAACGTGGTTCTGAATCATGTTCGCAAGTCTGCCATTAGTGACCACCTTAAGTCAAAGACTCATACCAAGAGGAAGGCCGAATTTGAAGAGCAGAATGTGAGAAAGAAGCAGAGGCCTCTAACTGCATCCCTTCAGTGCAACAGTACTGCGCAAACAGAGAAAGTCAGTGTTATCCAGGACTTTGTGAAAATGTGCCTGGAAGCCAACATCCCACTTGAGAAGGCTGATCACCCAGCAGTCCGTGCTTTCCTGTCTCGCCATGTGAAGAATGGAGGCTCCATACCTAAGTCAGACCAGCTGAGGAGAGCATATCTGCCTGATGGATATGAGAATGAGAATCAGCTCCTCAACTCACAAGATTGTTGACAAGGAGGTTACCACCATTGTGATCAAGATAAATGTGGAGTATTAAAGTTATGTGTTGATTGTGTGGTTCATTTTTATATTTATTTCATTTAAAATCATGTGATGCAGAATAGTTTTGCAATGTGTATATAGTTGCAGGCAAAAAAACAAAAAACAAAAAAAAAAAACCTCACTGCAAAACTTACTGTTAATTTTAGTCACCAATGGTGTAAAGCAAAACTTAGGGTTTAGAGTGTGCTAGGATACCTGAAACCTGATGGTTATCTTTAAAATTGATGGTTTTTCTCCTGAAATGTTTGTGCATGGAAGAACTGCCCTGCTTTTTTACCCTGTTGCCATATATGATTATTCCTTGTGAGATTACTTAATTACTTGGATTGAACACTAGCCTAGGAAAGTGAAGCTGCTGCCAGGCAACACCACTCACAGTAACTTAAAGGAATTATATCTGATTAGAGGATCCTCTTCAAAAAGGAAGGGATGGTGGGAAACTGTTCTATCTTCTGATCCCTCGCAGAAATGACTGTCTTTATTTCAAACTGTGCTTGTGTATGACGAAGTTACCTTATCTATCCTTCAGTTCCTCACTGTCTTTTTTCGCCCTTTTTAAAGGCTTATTGTATTTAGTAGCAGCTTCAAGTGACCAAAAGACTAAAATCGTTCTTTTAATGTCAGTGCCAGAAGCCATGGGGAATTTTGCAGTGACATGATTTTAGTCTCTTATTATAAACAAATTTTTGAACCATAGTTTTCATTTCAAGCATCATCTTGAATTTGCAAGCTTTTTTTTTTTCAATATCTTGATGTTAAAAGATTTAAAGATTGGCATTTTAATTTATAGACATTTTATGATTGAGTTTCCTGTTTTTACAGAAAACTAGTAATTACCTTTTGGCTGACAGATCAGATAATAAGGAAATTACTTTCTCTACATTAATGTTTCCATATGATTTATAAGACTTTAGGTAAATAGAAACAAGTTAACTTTCACTTTTATGTGCTTTGCCTCTGGTGGTGCAAGGTTTTTAAACATGGATGGTAAACAATTGTCTCGAAAGACTGGCAAGGTTTTTGTAGTGGAGATCTGGCAGTATCCTGCATAACTGTTTGGGTGAGGACATAATCAGCCCTGTTAAAGGTCACCCATGTTCAGGAAATGATCTCTGCGAACCTCACTTATCCTGTAAGTTATATCCTCTCCATTGGAGACCCAAATTATATTTTTTAAAACCGAAAAAACTGAAGACTTGGACTAGAGCTTTAAAAAAAAAAAATACCTTTAATTTCTTGAAAACATTCAAGTTTAAAATACTCATGAAATATATTTCTATTACAAAGCACTAACATGAATGCCCTATGTGACTTGGAGTTATCTATAAGGTCATTTTACCACAAATCTTTAAAAAAAAAAAAAAAAAGCCAAAGTGAATAAGGTTGTATTTTTCAGAAACAGCTTTCCAGGTCTAAGTTTTCTTTTACAGATTTAAGTTCCTAGTTCAGGTTGTCAAAGTGCCCATCTGATCTTTAGATTTTATGTGAGTTTTTGGTTTTCATTTTAAAACGAGCCTGCACCAAAAGCAAATTTGCTCATCAAAATTTGAGTTTTTCTCCTGTTTAGTTACATAAAGTAGCACAATGAATGCCTGGAGTAGTGCTGTCATTGCTAAAGCACATACGTGAGACCAGCAGCAAAACATAACCAAAATGTACTCTGCTTGTATTTCCCCTAGTAAAGAATTTGCAGGCAACCATGTTTCTTTTGAATTATCTAAGATGGTAGAATATCTAAGCAGCTAGGAAAATAATTGAGTTTTATAGCATTTCAGAACACAAAAATAAGGTTAGATAAACAATCATTCTAATTTTTCAAAATTCCATGTGATTCAGATTGCTCCCTATCTTAATATTAATTTGCACTAACAGCAGACACGTAGTGGCAGAACAGTTTTGAGTAATCCTAAGCAGTAAACTGGATGATGTTGCACAAGAAAAAACCAATAATTCACATTTGAGTTTCTAGTAGTTATTATTGATTTGATGATCATTTAGGTCCCATTTGTCTTAATGTATTTCTCCAGGCTCCTAACTATTCCCACATATACCTAGGGGCATAATTCATCCTCCTGTTAGGATTATATCATGTCCTTAGAAGTGTTTTCCATCCTGTTGCGGAGGTTTAATGTTTGTTTACTGATTATGAAACTTTTTTGTTCCTGGAACTGGTTAACTTTGTCTCATAGTTAAATTGGTATGGCGGAATGATTGCTTTAGCCTGCTCAAACTGGTACAAATCCGTGAAACCATGGTTGGCGTATGTTGGATAACGAACGAAAATGTCTAAGGCGTATGCTGCCGTGGAGGTGTGGTGGACATGTGTACAGAAGCTTTCAATCTTAACTATATAGTGTTAGTGTGATGCTATACTATTGGAAAAATAGCAGTTTTTTTCTATTTTATAAGTTGTATGCATAAACATAAGATTTGTAATGTTTCATTTATAAACTGCCTTCTTCAACACATGCTTACCTGTTAATAGTGTTTTCTTGAAGTATGGTAGTATGTCTTCCAGAATTTCACTATATGCTTACAGTAAATAGTTACTAGCTTGTTGAAATGTTAAATTCCTTGTTGTTGTTGTTTTGTTTTGTTTTGTTTTAATTCTGTGGGGCATATAGCAAGCCTGAAAGACATTGTAATTATTTCCTACAGGGTGAAAATTTAGAAAGATTGTGTATGAGAGCCTAAATAGTTATTTTATTCATTATCATCTTTAAGACTTTTTTTTTTTTTTTCCAACAAATGCTACTTCCAGTTAATGCATTTGGCCCTACTGAATTTTGGGGGACCAGAAAACTTTAAAGAAAAAGCTCTGCATCTTACACTTGTAACCAATTAAGTATCAGCTTGGGATTGTTCTGAAGTATTCATTGCTTAAAAACTGTTGTAAGTAAAAGTTGGCAAGATCTCCAAGCAGAAAGTTCCATGTCAAAACTTTTGCCTGAAAGAATTTGTATGTGAATGTTAATGGAAAACACATTTAAACAAAATAAAATTTAAAGTGGCCCAAAATGAAAGCCACAAACATTTCGTCATTTGGTGCTTAGTCTTTGTGAGGGCTCTCTGTGGTTTGACTTGCTCCAACTGCCTTTAAATGAGTACAAATCACCTTAAAACATATTCATTAAATAGAAGATTCATCCTGTAATTTGACTGAAAATCTTAGCCTAAAATAAATTGCTTTAGTTTCTGGTCAGCACTGATTAACTTGTGAATAGTGAAGTGGCTGTCCTAAACCTTCCATTTATCTCAATCCATACTATGATAGACTTCTAAGGTAAATACAGTTCTTACCTAATGGTATTCTACTTGTATCCAGAATACTGTATTCATTAAAAGTTTACTATGTTTATTTTTGTATTCCAGTGCTTACTTTTTTTTTTTTTTGCCTACCCGTGTATTCTTAATATAAATGTGTCACTTTTCAAGTTTTGTCTCTGTGACTTTTAGAAATAAATTTCAAAAAAATTCTTTCAGAAGTTTTGAAAGCACATTTTGTGAGTCAGTAACATATATATGTATTTTAATTAATTTAACCTCTATGCCCAATGTGGGGCTCGAACTCATGACCCCAACACTAAGAGTCACATGCTCTACCAAGCCTCCTGTATTTCATTTTTTAAAATAACATTTTATTGTTCCAAAATAACAGTATTTTACTAATTGAGTTTTTTTATTTTTCTACTAGTTATATCTCTATAGGATTATTAGCCCTTGCCTAATGTAACCATATATTCTGTCATAATCAGTCACATCAGAGCTACATACAGATAGCTCTTTTCCTTAAAAATCACATACGTAATAATTAAGTTAATCTAATCAGCACTTTTAATTGGAAACTTTAGTTTTCTACTTAGAGAAATATTAATCATGAAAGACAGGCCTAATTTGCACTTCATACGTTTTATTGGGTTTGTCAAAGATTTGCTATATTCATATTCACCACTGGGGGTGAAAAAAATGCATAGAAGTTGAAAATTGTCTTGCTTTTTAGTAGTTTTATGTAGTTTTGAGGATATATATTTCTTCTCACTTCTGTCTGACAAAAACATTAATGAATTTATAAAGTAATTAACTTTTTTCTGGAATCAAAATGGTAGAAAGGACCTTAAAAAAATTAGTCAATACTTCTGCATCCAGTTTAATATAAACAAGCCCATCAACCCATCAATGATCTTTTGAGGAAAAGTCTTTACTAAAGAATATCATCAAAACCTTTATTAAATGTAACCCAATTGAATATATGTGTCTCTGGGTCTCGTAAGAGTTTCTATTTTTTTTTCTGTGTATGTGTAAATTGAGTTGTATTATATACCTGTAATACAGTATGTCATGATGCAAAAATGCTTCTGGGGTCAGACTAGCTAACCTAGCCCTAAGAAAGCTAAAACTAGGCGGTAGAATGGTAGTACTTGTGATCTGATGTGTTTGATAATGTATGGCATGATTTCCATCTGACTACTCTTTATTGTCATAATACAGTGATGGGGCTGTGGGGGCATATCATTTGTTGTCTTTTCTAGGCAGCTCCTTTAAGCATTCGTCATAAGACTAGTTAGCCAAATACTTGTCACTGGTTTTGTTTTGATTCTCAAAGTCTTACTTTGTATGAGAAGAGCAGTAAAAATTGAAAATTTGCGGATTAAATGGTCTGCATATCCTTTGAAAATATGGTAGTTCTTATAATCCACAAAATATGTATTTTCACATTAAAATCTATTAAGCAATGGAATTGACCAATTTAAATACCTGTAAAGTACAAATCTGCCACACATTTAATACAATGCCCATGGTAAATCAAGAGCTCCACTGAATACCGTATATCAAGGTAGTCCCTGGTGTACCACATTAACTAATGATTATCATCATCCAGTGCCCTGAGCTGATATGTTTCTTACATGATAGATTCTCTAAATTTTTCTTTTTAAGCACCAAATGAATCAATGTGTTATGGAAAACATTGTTTTTATATGCCTTTTTTCCTGTCTTGAATTTTTTTTTTAATTTTTTAATGTTTATATTTATTTTTGAAAGAGAGAGAGGCAGAGCATGAGTGGGGGAGGGACAGACAGAAAGGGAGACACAGAATCTGAAGTAAGCTCCAGGCTCTGAGCTGTCAGCAGAGAGCTTGGGTGGGTCTCAAACCCACAAACCGCCAGATAATGACCTGAGCTGAAATTGGACACTTAATCTACTGAGCCACCCAGGTGCCCCCCTCTGAATTTTGTCTTATGTTGCTCATGTAGTACCTATTCAAAAATAATAATAATTTTATGTATTCTTTTTAGTCAGCAAATTTGACTTGTATGAATATATCTGATGGAACAAAACAGTCACTCTGTAAAGATATATGAAAAAGAAAATTTATTTTGGTATTATAATAGTAAATAATTGCAAATACTATAAATGTCCAGCAGTAGGGGAATGGTCCAAAAATATGACACATCCATATTACAGAGCATTCAAATGGTCTGAAAGTATGGATCGGGGCACCTGGGTGACTCCCTCTGTTGAGCGTATGACTCTTGATTCTGGCTCAGATCATGACCCCAGGGACTTGGAATCGAGTCCCACGTTAGGCTCTGCACTGAGCATGCAGCCTGCTTAAGATTCTCCCTCTTTTCCAACAGACACATGAAACGATGCTCAGCATCCCTCCTCATCAGGGAAATACAAATCAAAACCACACTGAGATACCACCTCACGCCAGTCAGAGTGGCTAAAATGAGCAAATCAGAGAACTCTAGATGCTGGCGAGGATGTGGAGAAACGGGCACCCTCCTGCACTGTTGGTGGGAATGTAAACTGGTACAGCCCCTCTGGAAAACAGTGTGGAGGTTCCTCAGGAAACTAACAATAGAACTCCCTTATGACCCAGCAATAGCACTGCTAGGAATTTACCCAAGGGATACAGAAATGCTGAGGCATAGGAGCACATGTACCCCAATGTTCATAGCAGCACTCTCCACAATAGCTAAAACATGGAAAGAGCCTAAGTGTCCATCAACAGACGAATGGATCAAGAAGATGTGGTTTATCTATACCATGGAATACTACATGGCAATGAGAAACAATGAAATCTGGCCATGTGTAGCAACATGGATGGACCTTGAGGGTGTTATGCTGAGCGAAATAAGTCAGGCAGAGAAGGACAAATACCATATGTTTGCACGTATAGGAGGATTAGGAGGAACTTGACGGAGGACCAAGGGGGAGAAGAAGGGCGGAAATGGTGGGGGAAAGGGAGAGAGGCAAACCATGAGAGACTCTTGAATGCTGACAAAAACTGAGGACTGATGGATGTGGGGGGGAGGGGGGATGGGCATGAAGGAGGGCACTTTGGGGATGAGCACTGAGTGTTATGTAGAAACTAATTTGACAATAAACTATTTGTAAAAAAAAAAAAAAATAAATTTAAAAAAAAAATTAAAAAAAAAAAAAAAGATTCTCCCTCTTTTCTCTCGCTTTCACTCTCTCTCTCTCTCTCCCTCTCCCTCTCTTTCCCCCTTGGTCTCCTCCTCCCACTCATCTTTTTTTTTTTTTTCCTGAAGTTACTCATTACTAAGTATGTAATGGGGAAGTAATTTCAAAGCTACAGCTTTAATATTCCTGTATTTTTCTTCTATAAATAGCCTAAACTTTCTAGTTGTTCACAGTAGCTGTACACATTACACTCTGTGTTTCAAGAATGCCTATAATAAACAAGTTTAATAGCTGCTAAAACCCCATCAATGTGTTTCAAAATCTGTCAGTTAATGGAAATAAGAGGGATGTCATAATATATCATCAGGGAGTTCTTTATAACTTACAATGTCTGTGAAACATTTTAATTTTCTATTTTAGAAAACCAGCATTAAATCAGAATTGAAACTCCTTTCTGGTAATTATTTGTCATTTAACTCTATTCCTCTCCATGAACATAGCTATTTTGGAATTCAGTCTTTTGAAACTTTTTCTAGTGAGGGATTGCCTAGCACCCTCATGCTTACTGGCACAACAGTAATTTGTTTACAATTCAGTATCATTGTGACATAGTACAATCAAGATACAATGTTTCCCTATACCAATGGTCATTTGCTCATAATCTTTCTTTTCCTGTCTGATTTCCTTTTTTCTCCTCTAATGCTTCATCTCGTCCTCCTGTAGATTCTTTTTTTTTTTTTTTTTTTTTTTTAGGTTTACTTATTTGAGACAGAGAAGGCATGAGTGAGAGAGGGTCAGACAGAGAGGAGACAGAGAATCCCAAGAGGGTCCCTGCTGCGACCTCAGAGCCCGCGGTGGGGCTCAGACCCACAAAACCATGAGATCATGATCTGAGGCAAAACCAAGAGTCAGATGCTTAACCACCAGGCCACCCAAGCTCCCCTTCCTCTTATAGATTCTTAATGCTTCACCTTTAGCTAACACAAAATATTATCAACTCACTGACATCACAGAGTCATCGGTAGCAGATTCATGTCTACAATCCACATAGTTATTAATGCACATTTTTACCTATGCTCATAAAATGGAGTGAATTTTTGTAATTCAAACTGCAAATACTGCCAGGATGCTGCAACCAGTATCTTCACTGAGTTGTATATATACACATTACCAGATTCTATATTTCTAAAGGTTTTACAATAAAACTCTCTGCCACTGCAATTAACCTTAAACTCATTAGGTGTATGTTAATGTGCCCATCACATTGACTTTTGTGTTTGTTAACTTATATCAACAATGAAGTTAATAATATAAATGTCTGATCAGCTTAATTGTTTTCTTAAGGCTATAGGTAGAGTACAATCATCATACTACATCTAGGAAATAAGTAACATTTATGAATGGTTTCAAATTATATGCAGCGTATTTTGGTATTTTATTTGCTTCTGTATTTTTTTAAAAAATTGTAATTTTTAAACTAAGAATAGGGGTGAATCTGGGTGGCTCAGTCGGTTAAGCCTAACTTTGGCTCAGGTCATGATCTCACCTTCCGTGAGTTCAAGCCCTGTGTCAGGCTCCGTCCTGACAGCTTGGAGCCTGTTTCAGAT